CCCTGCCGAGGCCTGCCCTGGGGAGCCTCGCGCGAGGCGGAGTTCGTTCCGAGACCTCCTGCTCGAGGCTCGAGGCGGGGTGGAGGAGGGCTCGGTCGTGGCAGGTAAGGGACCCACGACTTACCTTCTAGCTTTGTTTTGATATTTGCTTGGGGTACCCCGTTCTAAGGTACCCGACACTAGGATTCTAGCCTAGATGTAACGTCGAGTCTAAGCGGATCAAATCCAGTCCACACGATGAGTGAACTATACATTACCACTAACCCATTTACGTTTTTGTCCTCGCTTCACGTAAAAGAGTTAACCCGGGATGGTGCCATGTACTCTAGAAATCTTATATATTGGTCTAATCCACCTTCAACAACTAAGGTAGGATTAAACTCACATAACTCCACATTAATATCAACACGGCTCACTATGGGTCAAATCTAAACTGGGGCGAGGTGCCACACCACTTGTCCCATTTTATTTCTAGAGGTAGGTACAATCTGGGTGGGGTGTGTGTAGGGGGAGGGGGGCTGTTTGCCCCGCGTCTTACAGGGAACAAAGTTGTTAGACCCAAATTGCTCCAAAGCTTCCACACCATTGACTGTGTCCATTACAAATTTTTTTCACGAGTTGCGTCTCGTAAAACGAGCGAAACAGTCCATCCTAGGGGAAAAAACGGTGCATCTTTAGGGCCATGGCGAAAACACTCGTCCATGTGCATTTGGCGAGACCAAGTTTAACCAACACTTCGCTAACAAACGGTTCACAAAGGGACCCTGAGACCACTCTGACTTTTAAGTCAAGAAACACTACAGCTTCACAGTGGTTCGAGCAGATTTGCTAGTACTAAAAAAAAGTAGACGTGGCCCAAGTCCCATCTTCACAGCCCTAAAAAAAATTTAAAAGTACAGCCACAGCACTTTTCACTGAAGAAGTGATGATGCATCTACATAGAACAGCAAGGTACTTCGAAATTACATTTAGCCCTTGTTTAGTTCGTGAAATTTAGATTTTAGGGCTACTGTAGCACATTCGTTTTTATTTGGTAAATAGTGTTCAAACATGGACTAATTAGACTCAAAACGTTTGTCTTGTAATTTCCCACCAAACTGTGCAATTAGTTTTTCTTTTCGTCTACATTTAATGCTCTATGCATAGGGCGCAAACATTCGATGTGACAGATACTGTAGCAACTTTTTGGAATTTGGGGTGTAACTAAACAAGGCGTTAGCCACGTCAGGTGGTACGGCTGTTCAGATACTAATAAAAAAATAAATTACAGAGTCCGTCGGTAAACCGCGAGGCGAATTTATTAAAACTAAGTAATCCATCGTTAGCACACGTGTTACTGTAGCATTTTATTGTCAAATCATACACTAATTAGGCTTAAAAGATTCGTCTCATAAAGTAGTTGCAATCTGTGTAATTAATTATATTTTTAGTCTATATTTAATACTCCATGCAATCATTTGATGTGATGGGTGTAAAGTTTTCGAGGAGGGACTAAAGAAGGGCTTAGTTCGGTACTGTCACGCTGATCAAGAGCTCCGCACCACCTGCAGGCATTACAACCACGAGCCCCTCGTCGGCGCTCGGTGAGATGGAGTAGGACACGTGCACGGGTTTGCTCCCCTCCAGCGCCAGGTCCTCGAGACCGGCCTCGCTCCACTGCGCGACCCGAGCCGCGAGTCCGTGTCCATGCCCAAGGCAGGCCTCGCGATCACCGCAGGTCTGGACGTGCAGCTCTTTCGAGCTGTCGCGGGCCATAACCGTGAATCGCGGGGGCTCCTTGGCGCCGCCGAGCCTCTTGCTGGCCATGCCGACGCAGGCCGCGGCGAGCGCGCGGTGGTCGGACGTCGTGTCGGGAGCCCCGAAGAGCACGGTCGTCGTGCTGTCGTCGGCAGCGGTGGCGGTCGCAATGCCCAGCGTGGAAGTGCCGGACTTGACGCGCTTGGCGGCGCCTGGGCTCTGGATGTAGTGCGTGTACTGGATCACCGGGTGGGCGACGTGCTTGCTCTGCGCTTGCATCTCCGTGTTCTTGCGAGCCCACGACTTGAGGAAGCCGATGAGGGACAGCGGGTCGGCGAGCAGCAAGCTGCAGCTGACGCCGATGGCGTAGCCGCCGTCCAGGAATCGTGTCAGCTGCGAAGGCATTAAAACACGAAAGTGTTGTGAGTTGGGTTATTAGATCTGGTTGTGGCTCGTGAGTAGTTACTTGTGACTGATGACTGTACCTGAATGAACAACGGGGCACAGATGTCGGGCTCGTGCACGTCCACGTCGGTCCACTGCGCCAGCGCGGCCTCCTTCCTCTCCCGGTCGACGCCCCTCGCCTCCAGGAACTCCGCCATGGTGGCCTCCACCGAGGCCTGGACCAGCCGCACGCCGGTGTCCCTGAGCTTCACCTCCCAGAGGCGCCCGTCGTCGTCGTCGTTGCCGTCGCCATGGCGGCGCAGACGCCCTGCCATCTCCGGGTGGTCGACCAGCGCCGCGCAGAGTGACTCCTTCACCCACGCCGCACGCTCCCTCGCCGCGGCCTCCACCTCGGCGCCCGCGCCGCGGTAGTAGAGCACGGCGCGGAAGCGGCGCTGCAGCTCCGCGGCGGTGAGCGGCGGCCCGGATACCGCGATGGGCAGTGACTTCCCCGCCCCGGCCATGCGCATCGGGACGGCGGTCTGGAGGGACTCGACGTGGACAAGCATGGGCGCCGATGCGGCCATTTCGGCGTGCTCCTTGCTGCCCTCTGGCCGGCAGAAAGAATAGGAAGTTCTTGGCCAGAATCCAGAACTACAAGGAGTATATGGTGCGTATTGGAGCCTTGGAGCAGGGCTCACTTTATATACGTGCCAATACAATTGCCAATGTTTTTTTTTTGTTGCGGACATTTCTTTCAAAATTTGTAAAATTTCTTGTATGGATACTTCAGTACCGAATATTGTAGAATGTTGGTGTGGTTAAGTGGCTTGTTCCAAAGTTAGGACGGTCCCAAATTCAGTGTAGACTTTGTTAGTTTGAGTTGGGCGCTTGGTATAACTATCACTTGGGAGTTGCCGAGTTGGTAGAAAATAGTTTGGGTTTTGGTGATGGTTTTACTAATGCCGAGGCGGTGCAGGTTCAGCCGTTGAGGTCACGCATATGGTATGCGCTTATTTCAAGAAGTTGGTTACTTGCTTTGCTGAAGTGCATTTTTTTTGTAACGATCAATCCATGCAAGTTGCCAAGTTGGTGCTGAAAAGTTAGTACTAGTGTACTACTAACTCTGACGAGAAGAGAGGAAGATCACCGTCTGTTCCGGCTGGTTCTCTGTGATGGCAGGAGAAGCAGGAATGCCAAATCACATGCTGAAACACCTTGACAGCTAAGTGGGTGTTTGCAATGACTTTCGGATGAGAATTTGTTTGCCTACTTTGAGCTTTTCACGACTAAGTGCTTGCTCTTGAGACGGACAACCTTCCATTCAAAAAGGGCAAAAGAAGGCAGCAAACAAGTCTACCAATCACAGAAGCAGCGAGCCTATGAAAGTATGAGCTATGAAGTAATGAATCACGAGTTAATAAATCTCAAGTAAATTGTAAAGATAGGCTAACAGCACACAAAATTTTGAAACAGTCTCAAAAGGTCTCTTTTTTCACTGGAAGCGTTAGAGAAAAATCTGACATCACAAGAGCATTTGTAGTGCAGAATTGGAGAGAGCAAACATTATTACAGGCCAATGCCTTCCTTGCTTTGCAGAGATTGCAGAATTGTAAAAGGTGTTCTAGTGCTATGCACTATGCAGATGTGCAACTAAACTAATCCAACGCCCAAAGCCAAAAGATTACCCACGAACTGTATTACTCTTCACTTGCTGATTCGGTTGGTGTGCTGCAAAGAAATAGAACATGGACTGTTGTCAGAATCAATGAAGTTGTCACGTATAATCAGTACAACAAAGCCAATTCGAAACTTGTCTCAGACATCTCCTGAACTTCTCATGCTCATCATGCCTAAATTAGATTCATCTAACAGATAGAATGGTCGATGGCAAAGGATACAGAATTCTTTCACAGCCAACAACTTACAGAAAAGCCAGAACGTTCTTAATGGAACGATAAACAGAAGCAAGTAACCAAAGGAAAGATATCTAGTGAACCATTAGAGGCAGCAAATTTTTCATGTGACCAGTAAATACTGCCAACAGAGGTAACCTTCAGGTTCAAGTTTATATGGGGACTAAATGTGCAAAAGAACAAACAAGCTCTGATGTAATTCCGGGTCAGTAAGAATATGTATGCAGAACGATCTGATATACTAGCAACATGAAGGAAATAAAGATCAATAGAGGCAAGACTTGATTTAACATGCTGGTAGTCACAGTTCGTCAACTCTGCTCCGCTATATATCATTGTCCACTACTTCAGTGTTTGCAGTTTGCAAAACCATGCAATGACACCTCCAGTCTAAGTTACACAATCAAGATGACCACATCAACAATTCTGTGATGCAGTGGAAGAAATAACTGTGCAAAAGAATTGGACAAATTGCGGACTGGTCTGAGCAATAAGTACATGCAGGGTGATCTGATATAGTGGTTGATGAATAGAAAGGAAATGACGACCAATAAACCAATTTGTTTCTAGAAAGAAAAGATACAAAAGGCCAACACTCCATGTCACAATGCTTCTAGTCACAACTCACAAGTCATCAGAACAATATCAAATTGTGTGTGTGCACTGGATTGTACTAGCAAGTGACTGGATAAAGGCAGGCAGAAATTATCTGATCAAGGGCGACCAGAGGGTGTGTGTGTTATGATTCATTATCCTCATTCCCCAATAGTGTACATCAGTTTTCACCATATAAAATTCAGTATAATATTAAGTTTGGCCCCCACCCCCACCCAAATGGATCTGGAAGGAAATGAAGCACAATGAACAGTAATGTATATGCTTCTAAAACTCTTCCATTTCACATGTTACTAACTAAGCTCAATTACCGCCAACTGCAACATTTATATTCACTGATTCGAAGTTTTACAGTAACTTAGCATGCGTAGACAAAACAACCATCTCGTGGTGCACAGAAACACATAGCAATCTATAGAATTTCCCTCCCCATTTTCTCCACAGCTCGTCCACAAACTGAAGATACCACACCAATGCGAAAGCAAACAGCTAGCATTACGACTACAAATGACGGATCAACAACACAGGGCTCTAGTGACAATCCACAAATGAATCCAACTATCGAGCAAACTGAGCCCCACGACAGTAATTAAACATACAGAGCATTGAGCAGGATCACAGACCTTACTGACCTCCTACACCTCGTCCTCCCAGTCATCATCGCTGTCGAAATCACCAAATGCAGCCTCCTCACTGCAACAAAAATTCAGATAAAACAGGTTGCAATGCAACATCACCAACAACGCTAGAACCCCTCGATCATCAGCACAAACCAGCACAAATCGAAATAAAGCGGTGCGCGCTCACCATTGCTGCATGTAGTCCGCGCTGCTGCTCCCGACGAGGCGGAGGGTGCGCTTGCCCTCGTTCTTCCTGTACCCGGACATCGCAAGCAAAGCACCACAGATCAAAACCATCAAAATCACCAAAATAATCCCCACAAAATTCACCGTCGCGCGTGCGTTTCAATTTCCAACCAACACGAGGAAACAAGGAGAGCAGAGCAACGAGAGAGGTACCTGTGGCGTGTGCGGCGGCCAACGAGGGGGCGTCGGTCGAAGGGGGACTTGAAGCGGGTGTAGCGGAGTTCATCGTCGTAGTAGTAATCGTAGTCCACCGCCTTGTCCATCTTCGAGAGATAGCGCTTGACGTTCTCCACGGCGTAGCCGCCTCCCCCTCTCGCCTCGGACCGGGGGATCCCGCGCGGGTGGAAACCCTGGGCGACCTCCAGGAAACGGGGGCTCCCGTACCCCCCTGTAGCAGCGATTGCAGGCAACAAAATCAAATCCGTGAGAGACAAATCAACCAAGCCAAATCCACGAGAAATCAAACGAAACATTCAAACCAAATCCCCGAGAAACGAGCAACAAACCAAATCCGCGAGTCCGCGAGAAACGAAACAACCAAATCAAAACGAAAGCACATTAGGATGATCGGAGACGATCGAGCAGCCGGCAGCGTACTTACATCTATAGTACAGCACCATGGGTGAGGGGAGGAGCGGACTCGGTGGGAAGCCGAAGGCTGAGACGATGGGTGGGTGGGTGCGGAATCGGTCGGCGAGGTGGAACGGGATGCAAGGCGGCGGAGGGAGAGGGGGTTTTGTAGCAGACGCGGTGCTCTGCTCTCTCTCTGTGTGTGTTTGCGGATGCAGGGGCTGAGGGCAGGAGGAGGTGACGTGGCCTGTACGGAGCAAGAAGACACGGGCTCGCTCTTGGGTGTTCTTTCTTCTCACACCAGACAGCGGAAGCCGCGGGAACTATCACTAAGATGGCTATTGGCTACAAAATTTAGACAAGATTCTATTTAGCATTTAGCATTGTATGCCACCCCGTAAAAATGTTTGACAAAATTCATTACCCATCATAAATTGTATCACTCCTTCCTAAATTATAAGTCGCTTTGACTTTTTTAATATATTAAATTTGCTACGTATCTAGACATATGCTATATCTAGATATATAACAAATTTGATGTACCAAAAGTTCGAATCGACTTATAATTTTTAGAACAGAGGGAGTAGCTCTAAAGTTTCTAACCACACTTTTTGTGATTTTTTCACACTTGCATATGGTTAGTTTTTGTAAATGCTGGTTAGGACTAAACAGCTTCTTAGTGGATAACTTGTGGGCTTAGGGTGTATGGTCCCATGGTTTTGGGCTCTCGATTTTTTAGGATAGAACGAGTAAGCAGTAGATAAAAGGTAGAAATATATACTACAAATATCTTTTATAGAGTCGTCCGAGTACCATTTCGGATACGTAACCTGACTTAATATACTAGTGTAAAACACAGAGTGTAAATCAATCAAAAATAAAAACAGGGGACAACAAGCCCGTCGTGCTAGAACCGAGACATCAGGACGCCGCTCATCATGGATCCTCAAGAGAGGATCTCGCTGGAGCCATGAAGATTCTTTAGTCGCTGCTCAAAGTTGATGCTCCTCGTCCAGCCTAGTCACTTTGGTCTTTTGTAATTGCAAGCCAACGTCGCTCCACACCGATCACCATAGATCTAGCTACGTTGGCCTCATCCTCTACTGAGCTAGTGTGTATCTCTCGAGACTTGGGAGAGAGAGGGGGGAGCAGAATAGGCGATGATGGCGATGATGATTCACGCATTAGAGATGTAGAAGAGATGTAGCAGTGATCTCACCGGCCCAATACCACTTTGCCCTCATTGGCGGTGGTGGATAAGGCACGGTATAGATCCGCTGCATTGGCTTCGTCGTGCGCCACCGCTTGATCTCCTAGGGAGATGGGAGAAGGACGATCTAGCTAGATCCGTTATCACCTTGGCCTCGTTGTGCACCGCCACCTTGGCCTTATTGTGGGGTGGGGGGGCAAAGAAGGAGCAAGGGGCATGTGAGGTGGACGATGGGCAGGAGTGTGCAAGGTGAAGGAACAAGCGGAGGAGTGCAGGGTGCCGAAGGAGGGTGCATGGGCATGCAAGAGATAATTGGGTGTAAGGGGGAGGGTTGGGAAGAGGGGGCAATTCAATTATGATGGAAGTGTGGAACCGGCTTGGCTTATTAGTGTTTCCAATGAACTAGAGCCTCTTTTTGTTGGCCCACTTCTATAAATTAATCCTATTTATAGGGCGGTTTTTATAACCTATCTACCTTCGTAAAATGGATCCAACGCCTCCCAAACTTGCTGGGATCTTTGAAGACAATAATTTTTTGCTCACCTTTATTATTTAGAGGGCATGTCTCTAGAAATTTATTTAATACATAGTAGTGATAAGTAGTGAGCACATGTTCTAGTAGTATTGAGGTTTGGGCCTCGGCTTTCACCATTTCAACCTTTGATGTCTCCTACGACCTTGAATTACCATCTTAGTTTTATTCTGGTTTTCATCCTCAAACTCTAAAACTAGACATCTTAACCCTCCCCCCTCCTCAACTCTTCAAAACCATTTAAATTACCTTTCTACCCTTTAAAGTGCTTTTCTAGAAAGTTTCATCCTTTTTAGTTAAAAAACCCAGTAAATATCATATAGGGTTTTGAAGCCATGAAAATTGTCTCTAAGCTTCTAAATAATTCCAATAAAAATCCTACAAACATCAAACATATTATGACACAAGGAAAACCCAACAAAAATATTTAGAACTATTGAAAGCATATCTTAAAAGCTTCCAAAAGTTGTGTTTAAGTCCATGAAAATGGTTAAAATATATCTAGAAAAATCTAGCAAATTCCCAAAACCTTTCAATCATTCTGTAAACATGCTTTTGAAAATGCATGGTGGCGCGGCGAGAGAGATGACGTGGCGATGACCGGGGCGTTAACCGGTGATGCGGCAGGGTCTGCCGCGTCACCGATCTTGGCGCGGCATTGACGCGCCTTGATCGGTGGCGCGGTAGAGCCAGGTAAATATCGCCCGCCCGCGCCTGTCGGCTGCCTCGCCTGGCCGCCTACCTGCTGCCGCCGGCCGCGGCCGCCCTCACTACAGCGCCCGCGACTGCCGCGAGGACGAGCGCCGCTGCCGCGAGGTACTTCCCTAGCGTATTTGTTGATTGAATCGACATTGTTAGTATAGTAAGTTAGTAAAATAAATAAAGTTAGTATAATTAGTAAAGTATAGTTAGTATAGTTATTAAAGTTAGTTAATTTAGGCAATATAGTAAGTTAGTATATATAGTAAAGTTAGTTAGTTTAGTTAGTACATTTAGTGAGTCTAGTTATACAGTGTATTTAGTATAATTAATTGTTACAGTTAGCTTTGTATAGATGTTAATATTAGATTAGTTAGTATAGTTATAGTTATAATAGGTATTAATATTACTATGGACATTACGTACGACGATTTTGACGACTTGATGAAGTTTCTTGAATTACTTTTGTAGATGGATTGTTGTGTTAGAGTTTTTTACGGATGAAGTATTGGGAGAGAAGATGGTATGTTTGAGGATATGGAAGAAGAATTGGAATTGTTTGATGAACCTCCTAGCTTCAACGACATTTGTGTCCGTTTGAATGCAAAGTTTGGCGGTGATTTCACACTGAAGGGGATGTTTGATACTGGAAAGACTAGGGCACACTATGTCCTCATGCCCTTGCGCGACCCTGCTCACTGGTCCCGCTACACTAGGGTGTGAGAGTGCTCCAAAGTTCCAATGTGCCCATGGCTGAGGTGGTGGTGGAGAATAGGTACAGGATGCAGGGTGTCCTGGACGGGCCGTCCATTGACGGTGTTGGAGGCAATGAGCAAGTATTAGGGGGCGAAGGGGAAGCAGCTTAGGGTAACATGGATTTGGACGGTCAGTTGATGCAGGAGCAATTCATTCAAGATAAGTAGGCTGTATAACCAATGATTTCGATGTAAACGAGTTCAAACTGGAAGAGGAGGAGCAGGAGGAGGACAGGATCGGTGATGTAGTTAGCAGTGATTCGGATGATTCAGATGGTGACCAGGGAGATAGACATGCTATGCCCACACCAGTTCATGCCATGCCAGTACCTATTCATGGTATGCCATTACCAGTACCAACTGAGGTTTTGCATGCTATCCATGCTCAGTGTAGACTAGTCACAGATTTGCCAGCAGATGATACCCCCTATGATTCATGGGGAAGAATTAGCGAAGCGCAGTAGTATGTTTCACCACTACCTTACACAGCGACTGAGATTGAGCAACTAAGGTCGATGAACGTACCTTTCAGGGGCGTTCCAAACTATAGGCATGACGGATATGGCAGTTTGTGACACCGGTCTCCAGATGTGTAGGAAATCATTGTATGACCATAAGAAAGAAACCCTTAGGAAGGGGATGATATTCAATACAATGTCAGAGATGAAGCTCTTCCTTCAGAACTATGATGTGTATCACCATAGGCCGTACATCGTCACTCATTCGGACCAGGAGTTGAGGTACCACGTGATATGCAAAAAACGGTTGTATGTGGAGGTTAAATGCATGAAAGAGACAGAGTGATGGCAAGTGGAGGATAAGTAAAGTTGTCGAACCCCACACTTGCCTAACAAATAAGGAGAAGGAAAATCATCAGCAACTCACTACATGTTACCTTGCCCGTTGTATATTGGGGCTCGTTGATGACAATAATAACATTTCGGTGCCTTCTTTACAACAGTCCATATCTGGATTCGTTAAGTACAATGTGAAGTACGGAAAGGCTTGGCATGCTAAGCAAATTGCCCTGGCGATTCGATGGGGTAGTTGGGAGGAAGCGTACAACAGGGTGCCCCGCATCTTATGTGCAATGCATTACTACAACCCTAGCTTGAAATGGTTTGTGGACACCGAAGGGATGTGTTTTCGGGACCCGTTGAGGCATGTCCTCTATCGCATGTTCTGGTCGTTCGCACAAACGGAACATGCATTCCAGTTTTGTCGGCCAGTCGTACTTGTTGATGGCACTTTCCTAACAGGAAAGTATAGGGGAATCTTGATGATGGCTGCTGTTGTTGATCCTGAGGACCAGATAGTACCCATAGCATTTGCTTTGGCAGAGGAAGAGAACAATGAATCGTGGTCATGGTTCATGCTGCTTCTACATGTACAAGTGCTTGGCTATATGTTTGATCTCGGACCGTCACTCATGGCATCTCGCACTATATGTTTGATCCCGGACCATCACCTAGGGCTTCTTAATGCTGTAGCTGAGCATATAGATGGGTTCCCGTCTCTAGTGCATAGATGGTGCATGAGACACTTTGCCGCTAATTTCTGGCGGCGTCAGAGGAAGTAGGAGGTATGTGACAAGGTAAAGGCTATATGTTGTGTACATACAGAGCACCAGTTTAAGAAGACAAAGAGAGAACTAGACAAGATGCTAAATGAAGAAGATGGAACAGAAGGCTCAGTGGACGTTAGCATATGACGAGGGGGGTTTCAAGTATGGCATCATGACCACTAACTCCTCGAAGTCCTTCAACCGTGTATTCACTGGAGTTCGATCATTGCCTGTGTCTGAAATTGTTGAGTTCTCCTTTTATAAGTGCAACGAATATTTTGTCAAGAGGT